GAAATCAAACTGAAATAGTAGCCATTCCTGTCCTGTGCTGGATCTTGTCCTGATATATTTTCCATATAGCATGGAGATTCTCTTACAGAAACAGTAACCTACCTTAAACAACTGTTTTTCATTTAAAAGGCTCAGATAATTCAGCTTTTGAGTCCTACCCCTTGTCTCTTGCCAAAAAGATACAGGAAATTTTCAAGGAGAAAACCCAAGGTGTTTTAAACATGTGTACAAATCTTAGGACCTTAGGCTGCAAGCATCACAAGGACAGGGGCCAAATTCTATTTATCTTTTCATTTTCCTCAGTGCCTAATGCAATGATTTACACATAGGAAGTGCTTGACATTGTTGACTATTCCTATTCCTATTGTAACTTCTGAACATTCAGCTGTAGAACAAACAGTGTTGGGAGTGTGGAAGGGTTATAAAATAGAAGAGTAAACAGAGTGAAGTGAGGTCATCTAGGAAAGTTTCACGGAAGAGGTGTTTTGAGCCCAGTTTTGGAAAGGAGTCAGAAATATGAATCAGCAGAGAAAAGAAAAAGCAAAGAAATTCATTTGAGGAGGACTGGCAGGGAAGTGAGAACAATGTTGTCATGTTTCCCTACTTTCTGCTGCATTCATCACTTTATCAACTATATTTGGTTATGCTACATTCACGTAATGAAGATATAATAACTAATAGCTAGCATTCATATAGCACCTACTATGGGTCAGACACTTTACAAATATCTCTAATCCTGCAGAGTAGCTCTTATTATCCCCATTTTACAGTTGAGGAAACTGAGGCAGACAGGGGTTAAGTGATTTGCCCAGGGTCACACAGCTAATAAGTATCTAAGGTGGGATTTTAACTCAGGTTTTCCTAACTCTAGGCCCAGCTCTCTATTCATTGCCCCACCTAGCTGCTGCTAAAGACAGGACACTAAAGGTATTATGATTTCGAAAGCAGTGCATTAAAATCTGTTTAATTACTTTATAGCCATAACTCAGAATAACCATTTATATGAAGTTTTAGAGTTTATAAGCAATCCTTCCATAAAATCTTGTGGGTTAATAAAACCTGTTAGGCATTATTATCTCTATCCTACAGATGAAGAAACCAAAGGTCAAATGAAAAGTGACTCAGATTTAGAGCTAGAAGAGACCTCTAGTCCAACTGCATCATTTTACAAATGAGGAAACTGAAACCTGGAGAGATGAAATTATTTGCCCAAGGTCACATGGTATTAAATGGCAGAGTCAGGATGCAAATCCAGGTATTCTGATTCTAAACTCAGCACTTTTTCCTTTATTCCACTCTATATCAGACTGTTTTGATTATCTATTCATTCCAAATATTTACAATGGGGCCCTGTTTCCCCATAGAAGGGGCAAGAATAAAAGGTCAAAATAAGTCTTCAAGCATAGGTTTTAGGAAGGAGGGAAAGAAGCATTAATTAAGCACCTATACTGCCCAGGCACCATGCTAAGCACTTTACAAATATCTCATTTGATCCTCTCACAATCCTGGGAGATAGGTGCTCTTATAATCCTATTTTACAGTTGAGGATACTGAGGCAGGCAGAGGTTAAGTGATTTGCCCAGAGTCACACAGCTAGTAAAGTATCTGAAGCTGGATTTGAACGCAGGACTTCCTGACTTGAGACCCAGCTCTCTCTCTACTAAGCCCTTGAAGCAATCTTCCTAAAGCACAGGTCTGACCATGTCATCCCCTTATACAATAAAGGCTTTATTTGCTTTTTCCTTTATGAATACAGGAATAGGGACTAGATATGAATTAAGTGTATAGATTATGGGAGAGGATGCTATAGAAAATGAGATACTTCTGAAGGAAACATTCCGTAGTTAGAAGAGAAAATTGTTTGGCAACAGTTCCCAAAGCTGTTTGCTCAATCTCAGCTATAATCTTCTTTCTGCTTGTGATATCTGAGTGATGGTCAATGGTTAAGCCATTCTGTAATGAAGCCATTCTATACCTATAAATCCAGGCCTTCTGACTAGAGATGTCCATACTTGTTCCAAGATGGCACCACACTTCTTCCTCCACATCTCAACAAAAGAATCAAGGATAAAATGTTAAAAGAAATTATGGACTGTTGGCTTTACTTGATTATATGTGTTGGTGAATGTGGGGAGTGGGGTAGGGAGAATGTATTGGGTGGCCATGCTCAAAACTGGGGCTCTCTCCCTCACCTCCAGCAAATTCTGCCTCAAAGTGTGTGACACAAAGTAAGCTGGAAAATCTTCCAATCCTCTCAGAGCCTTGATATCAGAAGAATCCAGAGGAGTGGTGACAAATAAGCTCTGTATTAGAATTCAAGCTCTGACACTGACCAGGACCAGAGGCTGGCTTTTGTCAATTGTGCTTTATTTCATTATCCACTGTGAACCAGTGTGAGCCCCCATCCACCTGAAAAGGCCAAAAATCTGGATTGGCCAATCAGAAGAAAAACTTTTTTTTGCCCCTTCTGAGTTAACCTACCATAATTCTTTGCATGCTCTCTGAGTGAACCCAAACTGCTCCTTTCTGTGTCAGCAACCAGAAGGCTGAATGAAGCTGACCAGGAGCATTCTTCTGTTATAACTGATAAAGACCAGGTGCCTTGAACCGGACACTATCTTGATTAACTGGCACTTCTCTTAACTTGATATTTTATGGACACTATCGTCTTATGACACCCATGTTTTATGACAGCCCCATGTTTATGGCTGACAGATATGGAAACTATAGTTTTGGCTGACATAGGCATCCTGAGTCAGGAAGGGAAGGAAGGAACAACACTTCCTTATATAACCTTCTTCAACTGGCCTTACTTTGAGCTCATTTTTGTGAACTCTCATGCATAAACATGCATGTTCACTTGATTTAAGATAAATAAACATGCACATGCAGCCTAATTTTGTTTGTCTTTCCTAGATCTAACTCTGTAAGGCTGACACTACACATTACAGAATATTCAGCTCTTCTGTCTCTGTAGTGTCCCACCTCTTCATCATCTGTTCTTCAGGATCCAGAATGGCCAACTGCAATTAATCTTGAATTCAGTTACCTTTTATTGTTGCTTTCACTTATACTACGGTGGTCATTGCGTTTATTTTTCTCTTGGCTGTGCTTACTTTAAAATCTTTATCAGCTCATATAAAATCTCACGTTCCTCTAAATTTCTCTCATTTGTCATTTCTTGAGGTACAATATTTAGCTACATTCATATACCACAGTTTGCTCACCTATTCCCCAACTAATAATAGGCATCCACTCTGTTTCCTGTTTGTTACCACCACAAAAAAGTATTGCTATGACTACTTTGGTAGACTACATGGGACTTTTCTTTCTGTCTCTGACCGCCTTGAAATATATGTCCATGACTTAGGGGGCACATTTTTCTCTATTTTTCATTTTATATGTATATGTTTATATACATTTATATTTTATATTTATATTTCACAAGGCGCTCTCTCTCTCTCTCTCTCTCTCTCTCTCTCTCTCTCTCTCTCTCTCTCTCTCTCTCTCTCTCTCTCTCTCTCTCTCTCTCTCTCTCTCTCTCTCTCTCCCCCCCCCCCCAGGTGGCTCAGTGGATAGAGCACTGGGCCTGGAGTCAGGAAGACCTAAGTTCAAAAGTGGCCTCAGATACTTACTAGCTGTATGACCCTGGGCAAGTCACTTAACCCTCTTTGCCTCAGTTTCCTCATCTGTAAAATGAGCTGGAGAAGGAAATGACAAACCCACTCCAGTATCTTTGCCAAGAAAACCCCAGATGGGGGTCATGAAAAGTTGGATACAAGTAAACAACAAAACTTTAATCCCTGTCACATCCAACCTAACATTGTAATTGTTAGCATGGTTCTCCTGAGCAAAACATTTTTTGTAGGCCTCTAAGGGCTTCTAAATCAGTTAGGTCATATTCCCTATTTGATTGTAAACTCCTTAAGAGCAAGGAGCTGTTTCACTTTACATCTTCATATTCTCTAGCCTCTACCAAAGTGCCTAAGGAAGCACAGTGATGACAGCACCAGACTTGGGAGTCAGGAAGACCAGAGATGGAAACCTGCCTCAGATTCTTCATATTTCCATTACCTTGGGCAAGTCATTCACAGGTTAAGTTTCTTATTTTCCCTCTCTAAAATGGGGGTTAATTTCATAAGAAGACCCATCTCACAGGGTTGTTGTGAGGATTAAAAGAAGTGCTTTACACATGTGAAGCATTTTGCAAATCGTAGAGTGCTATATAAATGCTTGTTATTTTCATTGCAATAACACTAGTGCCTTAGTTTACAAAGCAAGTATTTTTTTTTCCCACTTTCGCAACAACTTTGTGACAGGATGCGCTCCTCACCCCCTGCTAAGGACCCGCATCGAGTCCCCCGCCCCCAATGGTCAAAAGACAGCAGAAGAGATTATCATAGACACAAAAGACACCGAACTAAGGAAAGCCTCCGCCTCCCTTTCCCGGGTGGAGGGCGGGGAGAAGAGTTGTGGGGGAGCAAACAAAGGAGAGGCTGACATGGGGGTGGGGCGCAGAACGCCAAGGCCCCTAGGATCAGCGCGCATGCGCCTGAGGGTTCCTTTCCCGGGGAGCTTCGCGCCCTTTTTTCTTTTCTTTTTTCCTAAACTCCCAACTGCGCGAGCCCAGAGGCCTCGAGGGCGGATCCCAGTAGGGGAAGCGCACCCGGCACTGTCCCCTCCCCTTCCTCCTCAAACGCACTTCCCTCTAACTGTGGGGACTTTGCTTCCCGGGTTTGGCTCACCAATCTGCCTGAATTGTGTGTGGCTTCGTTTTAATCAACAAAAATCCCTCCACAGATTTCCCCTCCAAATAAAAAATAGGGTTGAAAGAGAAGCCATTATCACTTTCGTTCTGTTTTCCTTTTTCTTGTACGGAGAGAAGAGTCAGGAAAGAGGCTGGCGCTTGGGTTAGGCACTGACTGGCCAGCCTCACCTTTCAAGGCCCTTTCCCTCCTCCCCCACTCGCCCGCGGCTTTAAATAATCGCCTCTTGCAGGCGCGAAGTCTTTTCTCCTCGTAGGCATGCGCCGTGGGTGTAAGGCGCGCGCGGCCGAGTTTGGCCCTTCGGCGGACGGCTGATGCTCCGTGGGTTGCCACGGAGGGGAAGGCGTGCGTGCTCTGCGGAGCTTCTCGGCGGTGTAAGCCTCTGGAGCATGGGTTGAGCCGGGCGAAGTGAAGTTTCCCCACCTGGAGCTGGGGCGCGAATGCCCCCCGTACTGCCGAAGGGCCTCGGTTGCGGGTAAGGCCGGCATCGGTGCGGGTGGAGGTCGGTCGGGTAAGACTAGGGAGCTGGACAGGATGATCCTACCTTTACAGACTAGAGTTTCTGATGTCCCTGTGACGTCACCACTTGGAACTGATCTAGCCTCGGAGGAGTGGAGGAGGAGGGGGAGGGATGGGTTTCTTGCTTCCCTTCTCTCCCCCTCGTGCTTAGCTTTTCTTTCTTTACAGGACTTCGGATCCATGCGGCTGAAGTCACCCGTAGGTATGTGACCGGATGTAATGGGGATTTCGTGGTGGGGGGTGGGGCTGAGGCCTTGATTGACATGATGACCCCAGAGTGGATCTGAGTATCTCCTTGATGCTATTACCGCAGCGCACTGACTCTCTTGGTTGGGAGTTGGGGAACATGGGACTCTCAATTTCTTGATAATTCTCTGAATTCTCTGCTTTCTTTTTTTCCTTTTCTATTCCTCGTTCCCACCCTCATTATCCATATGTAGGGATTCTAAGCAACAGATTCTACTTATAACACAGGAAAGGTAAGTGCTATGTAGAGATAGATGTAGTAGTAGACATTCATAGTAGTAGCCATTCGTGTTTTTTTTTTAAGTTGAAAATTACTCTGCCTTTAATTTATTACTTTTTTTTTGCTATTTCCATTTTCTCTCAAAAGGAAATTTTCTTAGCTTCTGTTCCCTTTCCAAAACTCTGGCTCTGTCTTAAGTTGTATGCAGCAATGACTGCAGACAGTCCATTAACTTCAGACTGTCCTATGCATTTTTTCAAACACATCCTTTCCTTTTGAAAGGAGTGCACAATGTCTTTTTCTCCTTAACCAGGCACTACAGATTTTGGGACTCATCTCTCCAAAGACATTTTCTCCGTCTTCGAATGACATAGCACTCTTAATGCCCTCTCTGCTCCCAGAATAATTTTTTCCACCCTAGGCCTGCCTCTCTGATGCTCCTAAAAGTTGGGAATGATGAGTTTTCAGACTAGAGTCTCTGACATCTGCATTGGAGACAATAAAAACACTGACCCATCCTGGGAATTTGAGACCATGGATTGTAGGGTGGTCAGGGAGCCATATGTAGAGATGATTTCCCATTGTCTCTCTCATTTTTCTGTCATAGTAATGTTTGCAGCACCTCCTGTTGGTGAGGGTGCTCAAGGTAGCAAGACTGGGATTAGTGCTACCACTAGTCCTTGAATTCTGTTCTAAAAGTGGCGTTTTATTCCTGTTCAGTTCCCACCTGGACCTGCTTTGCATCTTATACCTAGTTACCATCTTTATGAACTATAGATTTTGCTGACAAACAGAATTGGGAATGCTTCTGTTGGGGGAAAGGGGGGGAGGAAAGAAAAGTTGGAAATAATCACTGAACCTGTTATGGATTTTCAGGGTTCCTGTCTTGCTTGTGGTACAGTGTTGCAGCTCTTACACACCCAAGAACCAGGAAACCATGGACTTTTCTATGTGGACCAGAGATCAAATCAGAGCCGGCAAGCACTTGAACTTTTGGGTGTTTTTTTTTTCTTGAATCCTTGTTTCTAAGAATGTATTCTTGAAGTAATAAAATTTTTTTTACTAAAACCTGTCAGCTTCCTAATTCCAGTTTTATGAATTTGTTGATAGTTTTGTTTTATACTGATTATTTCCCAATGTAACTTCTGTCTTCCCACAATACCAGAAGTCCGAATTACCAACATTGTTCTTTCTCTAGAGAAAAGGGGAACTAATGTTTTCTATCCAAGGAAATTGATCGAGATGACTTGTTTAAGGTTATGAATGAAGTGACAAATGGTTTAACAGAACCATTTTACAGCCTCACCAATAATTTGTATTAGTGTTTTTCCAAAATCCATCCAACTTGGGTTTTTTAAAATTGCAATACATGTAAAATAGCAGGGCTAATAGATTGTTTGAAGTGTTGTGGAAGGCACAAAGGTAGAGATCACTGCCTCTAAAATATTTCACTAAGAATTTGAAATCTGAAAAAAGGAATTATGCAAATCAGATGTGGTTTATAATTCAGGCTGAGTGAGTCCTATGGAAATTTTAATGAAAGATTATAGATTATGTATACCTAGGGTGTTAAACTTAGTGAATCAGTGATATAAATTAACAATTTTTAAATTGATAGGAACAATACATTTGTCTCACAATGGGACCATTTTTGAATAAAGGAATTCTTAAGAGAATCCATAGGTTTCATTATGTAGTTCTGCACAATAAAAAGTGGAAAAATGTAATGTCAAGCCAATGTCTATCTGTAAAGAAACAATGGTTCTAAAGTATTAAAAATTTTCCATTGAGAAATGGTGAAAACGAGAATAGGTAATTTCTCAAAGGGTAGAAATTTTTCATGTACATGAAAAAAATATTCAAATCATACAAAACCAATACAACCCATTAAACTGGCAAAAGGGGGATTTAAAAAAATTCAGAACTGCGGAAACAGGCTGTGTATTTGTGAGATGGCAGACTTGAGGATGCATATCATACCTAAGAGGAACTTGGCCCTAGGAAAAGATCTATAGCTTCCCTGTGGTAGCAGAAATTTAGAAACTGCACTGTGGCTGAAAAAAAGGGTGGTATGTTGACAGGCATACTCCATACCCATGGTTCAATGAAAAGTGCTTGTGAAGAACATAAAGAAATAAAGATGAAGTGGCCCTGGGAGGAATAGGAATGCTATGGTTTCTCCTGGGTGAGGAATGCCTGGTATAGGAATTCCTTGGATGAGTCCTAAGGAATTAATTGCTTAAAGCACTCTATTAGTGGTTAAAGGGCCTACCCACACACTTGGTAAGAGTCAAGAAGGTGAAATTTGTTTTCAAGCTCCACGCTGTAATCCTCTTTTATTCAGTCATGTCTAACTGCATTTAGGGTTTTCTTGGCAAAGATAACTAGAGTGGTTTGTAATTTCTTTCTGTAGCTCATTTTATAGATAAGGAAACTGAGGCAAACAGGGTTAAGGGATTTTCACAGGATCACACAGCAACTAAGTGAACCAGATTTGAACTCATGAAAAGGAGTCTTTATGACTCCAGGCCCAGTATTTTATCCATTGTGCCACTTAGCTACTCTTTTAACTGCCTCTACAACAGTGTTATCACATATCTGTATGTATACATATATACACATAAGTAGACAACTCCCTCCTTCCCTCCCTTTTTGTTTTAGAAAAATTAGGAAAGAATTTAGAAGTATCCTAATATCCTATGGAGGGGTAGCTAGGTGGTGGTGCAGTGGATAGAGTACTAGGCCTGGAGTCAAGAAGATGCTTCTTCCTGAGTTCAAATCTGGCCTCAGACACTCACTAGCTGACCATGGGCAAGTCACTTAATCCTGTTTGTCTCAGTTTCCTCTGTAAAAAGAGCTGAAGAAGGAAACGGCAAACTACCTTTGCCAAGTATCTTCGCCAAGAAAACCCCAACTGGGGTCATGAAGAGTTGGACACAACTGAACAATAAGTATCCTGTGGATTAAATCAGGGCCAGAAACTCTTAAAATTCTTCCAATCTTTTCTCCTTGATCAACACAGAAGGCTGATGCTTGGTTACTACAAGGGACCAGAGCCAAGGGGTCCTTGATTAATCCACCTTGACTAGATTAGAGTAATGATCCCTTAAGATAGTAACCCCTTTCCCTATTCCTTGTAGAGAGTAGTCATGGAGGGACTGGGTGGTTTTAGGAAAATGGCTCTTCAAGGTGAACTATTCTAGTTTTGGATTAAGCAAAACAGCGGATCATTTTACAGCTGAGAAAATTGGCCCAATAGTTAAAAGTCCCTTGGCCAAGGTCACAGATAATGCTGACTTACAAGATGTAAGTATGTATCTTGTATCCTCACAGCAACTTTACACGTAATTACCCAGAATTTAGGGAAGGTTTTATGGTACATATAGTGTATGAACTGGGATTTGGTAAATAGAATAAACAAGTAATATCTAAAGTGTTTTGCAAACCATAAAGCTCTATATAAATGTCAGCTAATATTTAGCATGCAGAGATGAGAATTCCAGGCATAAGAATCAGGGCAGGCAGGCAAAGGCATGGAGGTGGGAAAGAAGCTAGATATGTATGAGCAATGCAAATAAATTGTCTAGTACAAGTGAAAAGTATAGTGATAAAAGGCTAGAAAAGGCGGTAGTGGCAAAATCTAGAGGGCTTTGAACACTGGGCTGTTTCCTCAAATCCTTCTCTCCTTGGGAAATGACAGATGTTCCCCAAGTCACTGGGAAAAGGAATGTCTTCTTAGAAAGCAAGACTTAAGTAGAAACATTAACTTTTCTATTGAAATATGCAATATATATAAACTAAGTTTATATATAAACTATACATACATATATGTATATGTGTGTATACATGAATTTTCAAATCCCGTCACAGGTGTTAGCATGTTAAACCAGTGAATATTATACATAAGCTTTTGTCTTCCTTAGGAAGTTGGAAGTGGGAGGGTAGTATCAGGTGGAATGTAGAGTTGGATTCTAATCAGAGCCTATAAATGCTGGACCCCTCAAATCTCTGGAAATTATTGAAACATGAAAATACTCGAAAGGATCCTGTGATCTCATCAATGTGAGTTTTGCCTCCAACTGAACAGATCACAATCTATGCCTGTTCATCCTGTGACTCATCAATGTCTTCCCAGAAGTTTGCCCCAGAGAGCCCAGTCTATGTTAGGAAGTCCCTCCTTGTTTTTTCTTGGCATCACGAGGATCGTGGAGGATCACAGGGATTGTTCATGGTTAACTTGCTATTTACATGAACAGCTCATTTCCAGATATTTCAGTTCTTCAATATACCTTATGTTGTGACCACCCACTTGCCCTCTGAGGGATAGTTATTTAAAATTTTGAGACTAGTATTTCATGACTTGCGGCCAATAATACTCTAGAATATTGGCATTAAAAAGATGGGCTTTTGTTTCCAGGAGGTTTGGAGTCATTAAAAGAACTTTGTAATTTCCCAAAGGCTATACAATCCATTCTCCTCCACCAGGAAAACCCTACCATCTCCAAGCAATATCCTTTCATCTGATCTCTCTGCTGAATACAACAGTGGCAAACATCTTTAGCAAGTTTGTGTCCCCTTGTTTTATGTGTTGCCTAATATTAATATTGGAAGATTTCCAAACCAGGTCTATACCCTGAGATCAAAGAAAAAAGGAAAAGGACCCATATGTACAAAAGTATTTACAGAAGCTCTTTTTGTGGTGGCAAAAAATTGGAAACTGCGGGAATGCCCATAAGTTGGTGAATGGCTGAACAAGTTATGCTATGTGAATACGATGGAATATACTATTGTGCTGTAAAAAATGATGAAGCAGACGATTTCAGAAAAACCTGGGAAGACTCATGCAAAGTGTGAAGTAAGCAGAACTAGGACAGTTTACACAGTAACAGCAATATTGTAAAGCTAACCCACTGTGAAAGACTTAGTAACTGATCAACACAATGATCTACAATTCCAAAAGGCTAATGAAAAATGCTATCTACCTCCAGATAGAGACCTGACTCAGAGTGCAAATTGAAGTATAGTTTTTCTTTCTTTCTCTTTTTTTTTAATGTAGCCAATTCAGAAATATATTTTGCATGACTTCATATCCACATTGGGTATTGTATTTCTTGCCTTCTCAATGGGTGGAAGGAGGGAGAGAATTTAGAACTGAAAATAATAAAATTGACTTAAATTTTTTTTCAAAACTGGAAACATTTTTTCAAACAATTATATCTTGGACTCTTGAATAACTTTGAGATATGCATGAGAAGCATCTTAACTGGAAGAGTCTTTTGGCATTGTTTTACTGTACCTGAATCATGCTTTCTGGGGCCTAGGGAAGTTAATATAATCAAACAATTCTGCTATTTACTTAAAGTTCTGATGCAATATTTGCTTTACCTCAAAAAGATTTTAAGAATGAACTAGATGTAATTTTCCATTTTGTTTTTTATTATCCTAAATTAATAGAGATAATTTTTAAAAATTTTCTTCTGGTCACCTATTAAGAAACTAAAATTTATACCATCAATTTTTTATGTTTTTTTTTTAATATGGCTCTTTGATTCTGAAGATTGACTAAGAACTCTGTACAGATTTACTGTTTTTACTTTTAAAAAATTTACTGGCATCTTTTGTTTTTATTCATTTCCAAATATATGCCTCCCACTGTCCTTCCTGAAGATTCACATCTTATAACAATTAAAAGAGAGGGAAAAAATAATGCAGTCAGTTCAGCAAAATTAACCAATATGCCAACTGAGTCTGATAGTATATAAGCAACATTCCATACCCATAGTTTCTCCCTCACTTTGTCAAAGAAGAAAAGTCAGTCAATAAACATTTATTAAGTGCCTGTTATATGCCAGTGGGCAGCTAGGTGGATAGAGTGCCAGACCTTTAGTCAGAAGACCTGAGTTCAAATCCAGGGTCAGATACCTACCAGCTGTGTGATCCTGGGCAAGTTATTTAACCCTGCTTGCATTAATTTCCTCATCTGTAAAATGATCTGGAGAAGGAAATGGCAAACCACTCCATTATCTTTGCTCAGAAAACCCCAACTGGGGTCACAAAGAGTTGGACAA